CCTCCTCCTCCTTTTCTTCCTTCTTCCTCTTCTTCTTCCTCTTCCTCCTCCTCCTGGCAGTGATCCCCAAACAGCGAGGATTTCACTGTCTCCTACACCAGCTAGGGCCCTGCCACCACCTCATCCCCCTATTCCACAATGTGTCTCTCTGTGTGTCAAGCATGCTTTCTGTTCCAGTGTCATCCCAGCCAGGATCAGAGGTTTTGGTCCACATCCCAAGGCAGAGACTGGGCTTGGTCAAAAGAAGCTCTCACTTTGAAGGAGCCCTGAGCCTAAAATCCCTCCAAGTGCACCAGGCTGGCACCTTCATCATGAAGGAGAGCAGGGGCTTGGTGGTGGTCAGCATCCCAGGGGCGTCGCTGCTCCAGGCCCAGGTCAATATCCTGGAGACGTTGCTTCCTGCCCCTGTGGAGATCCTTCCTTGGCCACCATGAGGAATCGGAAGTGTGGAGTGCAGCTTTGTAAAGCCTGGCTGGAAGGGACGTACCAAATACACTTTGTCCCTTGAGACTAATTCCTCATGCTCACAGCCATGCCAGGAGCCCCGAGGTGCCCCAGGAATGCAGGCTTTCTACAGCGTGGACCTGAGCCTGGAATTTGCTGAGTCTGCTACACCAGTGCTCTGGACAGTGGAGAACTACTTCCGGTGTGCGGTAAGTGAAGCAGCTCTAGTGCGCTTGCTGAGACAGTGCACAAATCTCCTTGCCTTGGCCTCGTAGTCTTTTCCTCTGAGACGATGTCAAATTCCTGGATTGGAGAGGTCCCACCTCCAACTGGGGCTGGGGCTAACAACCAGCCACACTGGCTGATATGGGCACAAGGACAAAAGTGACATAGGGACGTAGTCCCTAGTCCTGGAGTCAAAGTTCTGGGAGAGGGAACAACGCATGCCAGCCTCCCAGACAGCTGCGGACCCTCAGTGGGGGGCACTGACTCTTGTTTGGCTTCAGTGATGTTGCCTGAAAAGTACAAATTCGGTGGTGTCAGAGAGGAGATGGTGGGGCTGGTGGCTTGGAAGGCGCCGGGCACCAAGCAAATTGTTTCTGTCCTTGCCGGCTCTTGTTCCTCAGGTCACTTAGTGGACAGCTCAGCCTCTCTGACAAGGGGTCCCATACCGTGAACTCATTTCTGAACCTGAAGGGAGCCTCGCTCTAAACATGGTGTGTGTGCTCCGTGCCAGGGTGCTGGGCCCACATCTTGAAAGGGCTTTTTGGTGAAAGCTGGGCTACCAGACAACCTGGCATTCACACATGCAAAACCACCAGGAGCAAAACCCATTCCAATACAGCATAAGGAAATACACATAATTCACAAATGATGTCGATCACTTTTATCTTATACTTCCTAACTGTCCGCAATAGAAGACAGACGCGAAGGAGATTTAACTCAGATGTTAATAGTGCAAGAATGCCCCGTTACCAGGATATGATGTTTCGGTGCTGCATAAAAATGTAATTATATTCAGAACTATATTTAAAGATTAAAAGGGGGACTACCTACCACATCTAGCTCCAAATTCGGAATTAGAAACAAAGAAACAGGCAGGATGGGGGATGAATTCTAACGGTCTGCTAAGAATGGAGATATTTCATGAAAGTTTTTTACACATTTTGGCTCTTTTATTTTAACAGTTTCCTGCAGCGATGACATTGATTTTAGAAAGGGAGGGTTAGAATTTCATCCAACAAATATTCACTAAGCACTTGCGGTGTGGGGCTCAGGCGGGAACAGAGTCCAAATTGGACTGGTGTTTTCCAGCTGTGTCCAGTCTGGAAGGGGGATATAAGAACTGTCCCGAGAATCAGATGGGCTCGGGGGGCGATGCCAGCGTAAGATGATCTTTGTCCTGGGCTTTGAAGAATGTGAGGGTCCTTCCCAGGGAGCTAATGAATAAGGTACAAAAATAGCAACAGCAATAAAAACATTTTTTGAAGAAGATTTTGGGGGGCCTCCCTGGAAAGATTTACATGGCAAAGAATGTTCTCTTTCTCATTTTATTAATTTAATATCAGCAGCAGGAATGAACCTCTCCCCTCCCAGGAATTTATGTCTCCCAGTGCGGCTTCCCGCACCTTCCCTGCATTGCCCCATCTTTCTGTTCTTATTATAGTTGCCTTGGAGAGCGCCTGCCTCTCCCTCCACACCAGCTGCCTTCGGATCCAGGGCTGCACCCCGCAAAAGCGAAAGCGGCGGGTTTTATTCTTTGCGGGCCTTGTCAGACTGACTGCCTTGCCCCGGCTGAGCACTTGCTAAGCGCTTGTTGGTCTGGATTTTCACTAGCAATTTTTACAAAATGTGAACGACCAAGAGCACTTTTTCTTTTGTAAAATATGCGGCTAATGAGTTGGAACATGAATGACTGGAGTGCCGAAGCACTCTGTGGTTACGGATTTTTTTTTTTTTTTTAATCTTTTTCTTCTAAGCCCGCCAAAAAAGTGGTTGCTACTGAGGGAGGCAATCCTAATGATTTCAGATGATGGGGGCTAAAAGCAGGAGAGGAAAGAGAGTGTCCAGAGAAGAGAAACCCTGTGTGTGTGTGTGTGTGTGTGTGTGTGTGTGTGTGTGTGTGTGTGTGTGTGTGTGTGTGAGAGAGAGAGAGAGAGAGAGAGAGAGAGAGATTTTTCTGTCACCCATGCCTAATTCATAGGGATGCAGGCCAGAGTGGCCAAATCTTACTTTCCATCAGAAGCTGCTTATATAAAAACAGTTTTAAAAATTCTGTGAGTTAATTTTTAAAAGTATTTAAAAGCTGGGCATGCCTGGGGCACATGCCTGTAATCCCAGTGCTGGGAGGCTGAGACAGGAGGATCACTAAGAGTCTAAACTGCATAGTGAGACCCTGTACCAAATAAATAAAAAATGAAAAATTATTTAAATGCCCCGGCAGGCTACATCAATCATGTCAAAAGGCCATATTGGACTACAAAGTGTGAGCTCTAACCTGGAGGTTCTGAATCGGGACATCCTTGGTAGTGTCCAGAGATATTTTTGGTGGCCACCAGGCAGGAGGATGCTACCAGCATCTGCCGTGTCCTGGCCAGGGTGCTGTAAGGGTCTCATAATGCACACGGCGCCTCTCCCCCACAGCCTGATCCAGCCCAGAAGTGTCGGCCAAGCCTGGGCTGAATCTAAGGTGTGCTCAGACAGGGATGACTGCTCTATCCTGTCTGGTTCCAAGGTAGGAGACCTCGAAGTAGGAGCTGGCTCGAGGATGAGATTAGCCAGTGGCATTCAAGCTGGAAGAGCGAGTCAGGACCAGGTGTTCTTTGCAGAAACCTCGACTTTAAAAAAATGTAAGCTTCCGCCACAGCAACCATTGAAAAAGAGTAGCCATGGCCCTCCGCTATCCCATGGCCGTGGGCCTCAACAAGGGCCACCAGGTGACTAAGAATGTGAGCAAACCGAGGCACAGCCGCTGCCGCGGACGTCTCACCAAATACACCAAGTTCCTGCAGGACGTGATCCGGGAGGTGTGCGGCTTCGCCCCCTACGAGCGGCCCGCCATGGAGCTGCTCAAGGTCTCCAAGGACAAGCGCGCCCTCAAGTTCATCAAGAAAAGGGTGGGGACGCACATCCGGGCCAAGAGGAAGCATGAGGAGCCGAGCAACGTGCTGGCCGCCATGAGGAAGGCAGCTGCCAAGAAGGACTGAGCCCCACCGGAATAAAGCTTTGCAGAAAGAAAAATAAATAAATAAAAATTTTAAAAAATGTAAGCCAGGCATGATGGCAAAAGCTTGTAAGCTCAGCACTCCAGAGGCTCTGTCAGGCGCACTGGCAGACTGCTCTGACATCAAGACCAGCCTGCTCTACAGAGTGAGTTCAAAGCCAGCCTGACCTACCGAGGGAGAACCTGTCTTAAAAAAACAAAACAAAAACATCCTGCTACCTGCTCAGTCACTGCAGGTCAGAGGTTCAGTAAAGTCAGCTGAGATTGTGTCTTCTAACACTTGCCGGAGTGTGACCTCCCCAAGCTTGTATACGCTGCCATGTGAGAAATTGGATGTTTGTGGTCCTTCCAGTGGGCATGGGCAGGATTGTGCTTTTTGTGCTTTCTTCAGGGGAAGGCTGACCTCTGCCTCCTTGCTGGAAGGTTCAGGAACAGAGTCGCCTGCCTCAACTCCTCCCTCCTGGCCACTCCCTGGACCGGAGACCCCTCCAGCAGGATCACTGTCTTCTTCGCGGTCCCAGGACACAGATCCGGTCACCCTGGTGCAGACAAGTCCCTTCTGGGCCCGCTGCCCAGTGTCACCCAACCTCCCCACGGGTTGGGTCCTGTGGGCATGAAGCCCCTGTTCTCCCTAGGGGAGCCCTGCTTTGCCCTCAGCCATGTCACTGTCTCAAATTCAGAGTAGTCGCCAGAGAAAGCCAGCCCCCTGCACCAGGGCAAGCCCTTTCTATCCTGTGCCTGGTTCTTGGCCTCCCTGGGGCTTCAGACAGAAAAAGAACAGCAGCTATGCCTGTACACAGCAGCAAGGAAACTGAGGCACTCCCCAGAAGCCTTGAGGTGGGAAGCCGGAGGATAAGCCTGAGGACAAGACCCTGAGACCCACAGGGAGCCCGAGCCACATGCTTGTTTCTGCCATGTTTTTCTCTTCTGCTGCTCTCTAGGTGCAGCTGGAGCCCTGGCCAGTCCTGCAAACAGCCAGGCCTGCAGACGCAAGCTGGGTGTCCGCCGCCCCCTTTCCCTCCAGAGCCTCTCAGGATCAGTGCTGTTCCCAGGCTCCCCTGGGGGAAACAGGGCTACCTTGTCCTTCCTCTGCTTCAGCCACACTGTCTTCAGGGCCCCTGGGAGCTGTCCAAGCCGGCCCCAGACCCTCACAGTCCATCTTGCCAGCCTCCACTACCCTGGCCACACATCTGTTCTCAGAAGCCTCTGCTTCTCCATCACCCTCCCGGAGGCCTGACCTGTCTGAAATGTCCTTGGGCTTTGAACTCCCTGTCATACTAACCAAAAGTCCCCAGCAGGACACTGTCCATGGACCAGGAAGTCCCCTCCCAGGAGGAGTGGATGTGGCCATCACTGGGCTCATGCAGGTCAGTGAGGAGTTCTAGTCATGGACAAGAACCTGGGTGACCAGGCTGGCTGATGAGGAGTTGGGAACCTGTCACTTCCCTAGACTACCCCAGGAAATATCTCCTATAATGGAGGCCAAAGGGCCACCTGAGAGTGACCGTCACTTGCCTGGGGGGCTGTCCAGAGGGCACCTGGGCTGGTCATCCCCCAGAATGAGTCATGGGCTAAAGGGACCAAGACTCGTCATTTTGCCAGGGACAGGTGCCACATTCACCACCCGAGGAGAGTGGCAGCCAGACACTGGTGCCCACCTGGGGACCTTGGGACCTGAGCCCACTGGGAGGTCCAGAGTGGGCTCTGAAGGCCCTCTGACAGGTCTTCCAGAGAGCCCTGTGTCCTCTATCTCCCAGAAGCCTGCAACCCTGTCTGTGGGAGCCTCAGACAGAACCCCAGGTCTGGAGTCAGCTCCCTAAGGAACTGTGGGTTGGCCTAAGTAGGGGACATGCACACCAGGCCTTCTACCTCTGAGTACCCTGAGTCCTCAGGTCCCTGCGGGAAGTAGCCAGCCTGGCTGAGCCTGGGAATTCCTTCCCTTTGGGTCACAGGGCTTTGCTGCCATGGGACCCACCAGAGCCCACAGGGTCCACCAGCCCTGAGAATCACGGGCCTCCTAAGCTTCTGCACTCTGTGGAGAGGGCTCTCTGAGAGGCCCCCATGCTGGTCTCTGTGGAGACTCTGGGGTGAGCTCTGGGAGTGCCAGAGAAAGAGAGAGAGGGCCAGATTTGAGGCTTTTAGTGCAGAGCCCTGACATAAGCAGGCTCAGAGCCATGCTGGGGTTATTGTTGCCACCTTGTGATACAAATCACAGCCAGGAGAGCTTGGGGGGCATCAGCCACATCAGGAATGGGGTTCAGTAGGGCGGGTGCAGTTCCCTAGTGTGCAGCCCACTCCCTGGGGCTTCAGGGAACCCAGATCTCTAGTGGACCCCAGGGGAGGAGAGAATGGGGGGGTGTCACTGGTTCACTTTCGTGACTCACCCTTCTCTGTCTCCGAGGCAGCAGCTGGTACCTTGATGCCTTGGACTGCCACCGCGACCTCAGAGAACCAGTGCTCCCAGACCCCTGGCCCAGAAGCCCAGCTGTGGGAGCTCAGAGCTTCCCTGAAAGGGCAGCATCCCTACCCCCTCCAGGCCGAGCCAAGGCTGCAAGTGGGATTTGAAACTCGGCCAAGGAGAGAGATGAGGCCGTGGGCAACGCCCACCCGGACGCGGACTAAATAAATAAATAAATAATCAGGGTTGTCGTGGCTGATAAACGGTCTCTACCTCAAAGATGACTTCTCCCCCTGCGCCCCCTCCTTCCTCCTTCTTCAGGCAGATCCGTCCCAGGCAAAAGCTTAATAGCCCCATTTAAGGCTTTTCCTTTTCACCATGGAATTGAGCTGCTCCTGCCATTACGAGGTTTTCAGCTTCTCTCTGAAATCAAATTACTGACTCCATTTAATTTTTTAAAAGCTCAGATGATTTCCCTTCTTGAATCTGAGCCGTGACTCTGAGCCACCCCCCCACCCTCCAGGCCCCCGGGCAGGTTCCCTGCGGGCAGCTGCTGCCCAGGGATAGCAGCCCTCACCAGGAAAAGCCTAACACCTAGAGGGGAAGCTGGGCCTCTGGGTGCCCCTGGATACCTGGTAGGGTGGCCCCGGCCTCCCCTGGGACTGCATCTGCTCCCAGGAGCCTAGAGCTCCAGGGCTAGAAGACCTTCATGTGCTGGTGGGCTCCGTGGTTAGAGCCCGGCCCAGGCCGTGAGTGCCTGTTGGTACCTAGGGCCTTCTTGTCTTCCACAGTGTGTGTCTGGTACCGTGCCCCTTGACAGGTGCCTGTGGGGGGCTGGGCACTGTTTCAACTCTGGGGAGGTCCCCAGGACAGAGAAAGTCCTTTGTGCAGAAGGAAACCTGTGTGTGACCTCTGTGTGTGAGTGTGTTGGGGAGGGCTGGGGGGTGGATGTGTGGAACTGGGCACCTGTCATACACACGAGTGGACCGTTTCACATAAACATGCTCACTCTGGAAATAACCAGCTTGGGTTTGGGAAAAGGAAGGGGTGCAGCTGCCTCCAGGGGCAAGATCGGGGTGACCCGGAGGGGAAGGTCAGGATGCCCAGGGGGAGGGTATCACTCAGGGAAAGTAACAGAAGCGCGAGGGCCCCACAGAGCTGGAGGGACAGAAAGAAGGCCAGTGATGAGGGTATGTGAGCAGGGCGGGTGGGTGACCATGAGCCTGAAAGGTAGGTGAGTGTCAGTGGGGTGTGCCTCACAGCTGGGGCCGCAGAGGGGTGGCGGAGGGATGAGAGCTGCCCTCCTGCCCCACCAGAATGAAAGGTGACCTTTGGGGTCCCCTCTCTGTAGGTGGCACCACTGCCACTCCAGCTGCGTCTTCCATTTCAGCTCTGCCTGCAGTGCCCCTAGCAGGAGTTGCTCTCTGCATCCGTCTGTCTGTCTGTCTTCTACCTTATTCATCCCTTACCTTCTTCCTGCAGGGGCCACCCAGCTTCTGAGCATCACAGATTACACACACACACACACGCACGCACGCACGCACGCACGCACACACACACACACAAGGAAATCCTGTAAATCAGCTCTGACCCTTCACCAAGTCTGCCCCTGTTTAACTAACCCATGCCCTTGGAGATGAGACAAAGAGAACCAAGTCAATGAAGCCACCAGGCTCTAAAACAGCCCCTCGCCCCATAGACAGGCAGGTAAGTGGGCGGTAATTGCAGGGCGGGAAGGGTCTGGGCGTGAACTGCTCTGGACACTCTTCCCAGCTCTCCCCTTTCATGTAGCTGACACAGACCCTGGTACTTCTCTTCCTTCCCTTGGCCTCCAAAGCCTCACAAAAGCGGGACGGTTGCAGTTTAATTAGAGAGTGCTTGGGGTCTTGGGGAGGGCCTCTTCTCCTTCAGGACAGCACGACACAGCTCTAGTGACACAGTCCCTCAGGGCCGGGCTAGCACCTGTGCCTGATCCCGGGGCCGTGAGCGACTTTTGTGAGTTCGGTCTGTCTTGGGGATGTCTGCTTTTTACCTGGTGAGATGTCCCGGTTCTTGCTGTCATTTGTTAAAACCAATGGCTCTGCGAACGGCTACATTTTGGCCGGGATGGCTCTTGTGAGGTCAAACAGCTGAGGAGTGGGGGGATATTGCCAGCCCTCCCCCACCCTCAGGCTTGGTTTCTCACCCCCCAGCCCACCCCCAATCCTACGACTGGGAAGTGGGCGTCTGAGCATTTGTTCGTGTGTTTCTCTCCTGCCCGGAGCAGCATCTGACCCTGGGCCGGTTCCCGTTGGGATTTGCCTCCTTAAGCACCAGACACCCAGATTCATTGTTCTTCTTTTCTCCAAAGTCCTGAACCCCCGGATTTTCGCCACTTTCCGTGGTAGACTTTCCATCACAACATGCTCTTTTAGCCTCAGCTGCAAGTCTCTGTTGGGTATTTGAATATTACTTAAACTGGAATTGTAGTTATCAACTCAGTAATTCTCCAAATTACTGCGTAACCAGAGAGGCGGCGTGGTGGGAAGAGCTGTTTTCTGGGCATCAGGAGATCAGATTCGCCCTGCCGGTGCTGAGTGATCTCTAATACACATCACTCACTCGCTGAGCCTGGATCCAGGGCTGGGCCAGTAGGGAGCGGAGCCTGGGACCTCTGCCCTTAGGTCACAGGGCTTGCACTTTGGAGACGGCAACAGAGTCTCTGGTAGCTCAGGGAGGACCCCTCAGTTCTGAAGATCCCATCTCCAGCTCAGGCCAGAACTTGTCACCTGCTGAGTCTCTGGGGCTGGGGACTGCTAGAGACATCAGGAGGGGAATGAGGGACACTACGGACAGAAGCTCATTCTTGTGACAGGCCACAGCCTACTCTACATGCCCAATCTCCAAGGCCTCAGAATGGTTCTTTCCATAGCACCAGCTTCCCTGGGAGCTTGTTAGAAACGTGTGCTTTCCATTTGAGGGTTTGTTTGGAGATAGGTTCCCACTATGTACTTCAGGCTGGCCTTGGACTTGCAGTGGTCCTCCTGCTTCAGCCTCCCAAGGGCTAGGATTACAGGCCTGGACCACCACACCCAGCCAAATGCTCATCTTTGAGCTAGGGATGTAGCTGAGTGGTAGAGCACCTATTTGGCATCTCTGAGGCCACTGCAAAAGAAATGCAAATTCTTGGGCCTTACTTTAGATCCAATCATGGGGGGTGGGGCTAGAAATCTGCATCTCAGTGTGAGATTCTGATGTTCTACTGCTGAAGTTGAGAACCATCCTCTGGGATGTGATTGGAGAAGGCTTGAATTAGAATTCCTCTGCCTCCCTACTAAGAGCCGTATTTGGCTTTCATTCTTCTCCTGTGGACTTGCTGTCTCCACCACATCACACTTAGTACCCTCCCTTTGAGGAAGAAAGGAATTGTTCTGCCCATTTTACAGGTAAGAAAACCGAGGCCCGGGGCCTTGGGTAAGATTGACAGCAGGAAGTCTGTCTCCTGGACACACTGGGGATCCAGGGTTTTTTAGACCACTGGAATACATGCGTGTCCTCGGGCCAGAGAGCAAATTCTCCCTTCCAGCTCTCTCTCCCCAATTTCCAGTTGCAATCATAGGAAAGAGCATCCAGGAAACATAAATTTTGCCTGGCAGTTGAGTAAGAGCTCTGAAAGGAGTTACACGTCAGGGAGATAGGACTTTATTTCTCAATGAAATAGCCTTTTTATGGCTGGAATAAAAGTGCCAGGGGGAGCCTAATGCCAGGAAGTAGCAAGTACATTTGATAAACTCCTGCAGCAGGGGTGGGGCCGCACAGGAGGCCGCAGCTCCACGTTTCTAGAGGCAAATGATTCTCCGCAGTTTGGAGCCATGGAAGGTCCGGAGGTGGCAGGTTCCCCTCTGTGAGCCACTCAAGCCGGGCAAGGACTGACACCGGAACGGGGTCAACCCCTTTCTTCTCTAGGCCAGCAGGTCCCAGGAGCAGAGCTGTAGCGTAGAGAGTGGACAGCAGGGGGCAGCATAGCACACCGTTCCAGCCCGGCCGGTGGGCGCTGCGGGGGGCGTTGGGGCGGGGGGGGGGGGTCTCTGAGGCACATCGCCCAGAGGAATCCAGCAGTAACCCCCTTCTGAGGACCTCTTCCACTTCCCGTTATCTCTTCCCACCCCAGCCCCTTCACAGCAGGGGACAATTTAATCCGACCCCATCCAGATCGGTCTGAGGGTGGGGCCCATGCCCCTCCCCGCCCCCGCAGGATCGGGTCTCAGGGCTCAGGGATAAGGACGCTTTCCCAAAGTGCAGGCTTGGCCTTGGACCTTATTAACACCCCTGGGAAACCTTCTGAGGCTGCTCTGGAGGGGTCTCAGTTTGCGTATGTGTGTGGGGGCCTCGAAGAGTGAGGGGTGGTGACATTGATGGTCACTGGGGTGAGCAGAAAACCCTGAAGGACAAAGAAAGCAAGGAAATCTCCTGTTTGAGAATGTGCGTGATTGGCAGGTTTACGGCCTTGGGAAGGTGCGTGGTATTCTGCACAATCAAGTCATTTTTAAAAATAATCTCCCTGCTTAAGTCGTACACGCTGCTAATTGCATTTTAATAAGTCTCTTAAAATCTTGCCATATTTTTTAATATCCTAATATTAGGTAAGTGATTGCGGGGGACACTGGAGGGCATGGGGAGTTTATGTAACGGAGGGAGGGTGGTAATGAAGCTGGGGGTGGGGGTGGCCACAAGTGGCTGATGGGGTGTTGGTGTGACATGAGTGACCTGTGGGGGTGCGGGCGTGTGTCTGCGCGGGAGTGTGTGCACGGTCACCAAGAGGGAGCCACTTGATACCTCTGGCAGCTGGGAAGTGGGGAGAGGAGGATGAAGGAACAGGTGTCTCCCCTCTTTTCTCCTCTGGTCTCAGACTAGAACATTTGAGCCCAGGGTATCTCCACCCAGCTAGTCCTTTCTTCCTCCACCAAGCATGAAGGTCCCAAGCGCAGAGAGTGGCTGGGACGACCAAGGCTGGACAGCAAGAGGACAGTCATGGAAAGCCCTGCCCTTGTCTTGGGTGGGTAAGGTGGCCACCCTCCTTTCTCTCCTTCTCCCAGCCCAGGAGCCCAGCCTCCTTGCAGCAGACTCTGCTGTCGTAGCCTCGCCCTGCCCAGTACCACGGAGCAGAGGCTGTGGGTAGGTGCTGTCCCACAGCCATGCATGTGGATGCCCAACTCTACACTTGGCATCTTCCTGA